TAGCCTATTTTGGGGTTGCAAGTAGTTTATTTTTATATATAACAAATTATTGTTCTCTTATTAGAGAACACAAAGATGAAGATCATTCCCAAACCCAATGACACTGAGGCCACGGAGTTTATCCTGTTGGGACTGACCAGCCGACCGGAGCTGCAGCCCGTCCTTTTTGTGGTGTTTCTCCTGATCTATCTTGTTACCCTGACTGGGAACTTGGGGATGATTTTACTAATCCACTTCATGCCTCGTCTGCAAACCCCTATGTACTTCTTCCTCGCCCATTTAGCGTGTGTGGATATTTTTTATTCCACTACTGTATCTCCCCAGATGCTTGCTAACTTCTTATCTGTGAGGAAACCCATCTCCTATGCGGGGTGTCTTGCCCAGTGTTTTGTTTTTGTGACCCTGCTCCTTACTGAGTACTACATGCTCGGTGCCATGGCCTATGACCATTACGTAGCCATCTGCAATCCCCTTCATTACAGCGGCAGAATGTCCAGACCTGCTTGCACCTGCCTGGCCACCTTTCCCTACTTGGGGGGCTCAATGGTGGGCACAATGCAGGTGATATTGACCTCTCGCCTGTCCTTTTGCGGACTCAACACCATCAACCATTTCTACTGTGCTGACCCACCCTTGCTAATGTTGACATGCTCTGATACTTATATCAAGCAAACTGCCTTGTTTGTGTCTGCAGGGATTAACCTCACAGGTTCTCTGTTCATCATCCTCACTTCCTATGTTTTCATTTCATCACCATTATGAGGATGCACTCCAGTGAGGGGCAGCGCAAAGCCGTCTCCACCTGTGGCTCCCACTTGACAGCTGTCACAGTGTTCTATGGGTCCCTCTTCTGCATGTATTTGAGGCCAGCAAATGTGCAGTCTGTTGAGCAAGGGAAAATTGTGGCAGTGTTTTGTATATTTGTGAGTCCCATGCTTAACCCGTTCATCTACAGCCTGAGGAACAAGGATGTGAAACAAGCTTTGAGAAGAGTATTTATGAGAAACCTTGGTACAATGGAGAAAAGTTCCATTTCTACTGTCTCCCAATAAACAATGAGCCGGAATATATGCTGTTATGTGCCCTCAAATCATTTCTCACTCATAATGGTACAACATTGCCCAATCTTGCATCATCCTCTCAGTTGTTGCCACGTTTGAGCCCATTGTTGGAGTCATTGTGTCAAACCATTTCATTGAGGGGTTTCTTCTTTTTCACTGACCCTCTACTTTACCAAGCATGATGTCCTTCTCCAAAGACTCGTCCCTCCTGATAACATGTCCAAAGTAAATGAAACTAAATCTCTCTATTCACGCTTCTAAGGAGCATTCTGGCTGTACTTTGTCCAAAACAAATTTGTCCACTCTTCTCGTAGTCCATGGTATATTCAGTATTTCTCACCAACACCACAATTCAAATGCATCAGTTCTTCTTTACTCTTCCTTATTCATTATCTCTGGTGGTTCTGAGGAGCTCTGGTGAGCAGTGCCTAAGACTGCTAAGCAGTACTGATGGGCAGTTCAAACCCACCAGCTGCTCCACAGAAGGAAGATGGGGCAATTGACTTGGAAACCCAATGGGGGTCACTATGTGTTGAAATCAACTAGATGGCAGTGGGTTTGTGTTTTTTGTTTTTATTCATTACCTAGCTTTTGCATGCATATGAAAAGATTGAAAATGCTGCTGTTTGAATCAGGAGAAATGTCACTTTGAGGTCTAAGGATCTGAGATGTGGTATTTTCATGCTCTAGTGGCATGGTGGTAAAGAACTCGGCTGCTAACTGATAGGTCAGTGGTCTAATCCACTAGCCACTCTGTGGAAAAAATATATATGGCAATGTGCTTCATAAAGATCACAGCCTAGGAAACCCAGTGGGGCAGT